GACTCCAACTCAAAAAAAAAAAGAAAAAGTCAGTCAACCCAATACAAAAATAGACTACAGACATGAACAGACATCACATAAAAGAAAATATGCAAAGGGTCAATAATCACATTTTAAAAAGCTCAATTTTGCTAGTCATCAGGGAAATACAAATTAAAACCACAAAATATACAACAATAAAAAATGTACAATATCAAGACTGGCAAGGATGTGGAACCATTGGGAGTCTCATACACTCCTGATGGGACTCTATCAAGGAGGAGTTCATACAGAGTCTGTGACTCAGCATTCCACTCACAGGTACACACCCAGCAGAAATGGTACATCTGTTGACCAGAAGACACCAACTGGAATGGTTATAGCAACAATATACATAATAGCTTAAACTCAAGTGCCAAGAATGAAATAAATACTTGTAATAGTGTCATACAATGAATGTTCCTTACACCAACATGGATAAATCTCACAAATATAGTGTTAACCAAAACAGCCAGACACAAGAATACACACTGTATGAGATCATTTGATAGAAGGTACAAACAGGCTAACCTCACCTATACAGTTAGAAATCTAGATAGTGTGTACCCTTCGGCAAGGGTGGTCCCTAGAAGAGGACTCATGAGGAACAATTCTGGGTTGTGGCAGTGTTCTGTTTCTCAGCCTGGGTGCTAATTAGCAAGGTATGTTCAGGGGTGACAATTCATTGCTATCATGTGTACTGTTTTCTATGGTGGCTTTTTTTTGAGTAGGAGTCTCACTTTGTCGCCCAGGCTAGAGTGCAGTGGCACACTCATGGCACCCCGGTGTTGACCCACTGGGCTCCGGCGAGTCTTCTGCCTCACTCTTCCAAGTAGCTGGGACTACAGGGGTGCGATACCACGCCCAGCTAATTTTTTATACATTGTAGAGATGAAGTCTCACCAAGTTGCCCGGGCTGATCTTGAACCTGCGGGCTCAGGCAATCCACTCGTCTTGGCCTCCCAAAGTGCTGGGATTACAGGCTGAGTCCCCGAGCCCGGCCTTCTATGTGTTTTATATGTCAAAAAAAAGTGAAAGTAAATAGACCAATGGGTCTTATAAATTTCAAACATTCAAATCTCACACTTTGGTATTTCTTACCACATAGTACAAATTACTATTTCCAAGGTCTGAATTCTAAAGCACAAAAAACCACTTTGTTAACATGTATGCTTGGGGCAGTAAATTAATGAACATAAATATTAAAAGTTGAATTGAAGCATACCTGAGGAGAAGATGACTTTGCCACTGGAGGGGTTATCCTGGGTGATTTCTGTACCATGGAGGGTACTGGGCTTGGACTGCCCTGAGCAGATCGTCCTGCTTGAATAAAAAGTCAGTTAAAACAGTATTTATTCCATTATTTCTTCCATTACAAATGTCCTTACTCCAAATCTAAGGAAATAAGTTACCCTTTGCCACCAGCTCTGCTTATATGATCTTTATTAAAGAGCAATAACCACCAGTTGTGTCAGCCTCTATACCAAGATGATGAAAAACCATATATAAAAATTTTAGTCAGGTATGGAGGTTCACACCTGTAATCCTAGCACTTTGGGAAGCTGAGGTGGGAGGATCATTTGAGCACAGGAGTTTGAGACCAGCCTGGGCAATATAGCAAGAGCTTGTCTTTACAATAAAAAAATTAGCCAGGCATGGTGGTGAAAGCCTGTAGTCCCAGCTACTCAGGAGGTTGAGCCAGAAGGATCATCTGAATCCAGGAGGTCAAGGCTGTGGTGAGTCATGATCTCCCCACTGCACCCAGCCTGGGTGACAAAGTGAGGCTCTGATTAAAAAAAAAAAAAAAAAAATTAGAGCCAGGCACAGTGGAACCCACCTATAGCCCCAGCTACTCAGGAGGCTGAGACAGGAGGACAGCTTTAGTGCAGGAGTTTGAGGCTGCAGTAAGCTATGACTGAGCCTGTCAATTGACACTGTACTTCAGCCTAGGCAACATAGCAAGACCCTGACTCCAAAAAAAAGAAATTTGAATGCGATGCCAAGCTGACAGGCATAGTGGCTCAAGCCTATAATCCCAGCACTCTGAAAGACTGAGGAAGGAGGACTGCTTGAGCCCAGGAGTTCAAGACCAGTGTGAGTAACAAAGTAAAACCTCATTGCTACAAAAAATAAAAACTAAAAAAGTTAGCTGGGTGTGGTTGTGCACACCTGTGGTCCCAGCTAGTGAGGAGGCTGAGACAGAAGGAACACTTGAGTCCAGGATGTCAAGGCTGCAGTGAGCTGTGATCCTGGGTGACAGAGCGAGACCCCATCACAAATACATAAATAAGCTGAGCGCAGTGGCTCACGCCTATAATCTCAGCAATGGGAGGCAGAGGTGAGAGGACTGCCTGAGCCCAGGGGTTCAAGACCAGCCCAGTCAACTTGGTGAGACCTCATCTCTACAATAAATTAAGAAATCAGCTGGGTGCAGTAACGCAAGTCTGTAGTTCCAGCAACTTGAAAGGCTGAGGCAGAAGGATCAACTGAGCCCAGCAGGTTGAGGCTGCGGTAGCCAAGAGCGTGCCACTGCGCTCCAGCCTGCGTGACAGGGTGACACTATGACTCAAATAAATAAATAAATAAATAAATAAATAAAAGTGAAACCCTTTCATAAAGCAAATAAAACAAGCGTCTCTGACAACAGGTGTGTCTACTGCATGCAGGGTCCCAGAGGCTGGCCACTTGGCTCATCCTTCCTTCCAACAGAGGCTCCAGATGCACCTCAGATAAGTGGGAGTGAGTTTAAAAGCTACTAGATTAGAACAATCATCTCCATCATCTTGTGAGACTTGTCAAAAATCAGAACCCTCTTGAAAGCTTCTAGGGACAAGTCTCACCCTGTTGCACAGAGTCACTTTAGAAGCTTTTTTTTTTTGAGTTGGAGTCTCTTTCTGTCACCCAGACTGGAGTGCAGTGGCTGCTCCCGGCCACTGCAGCCTCGATCTGCTGGGCTCCGGCGATCCTTCCACCTCAGCCTTCCAAGTAGCTGGAATTACAGGCATGTGCTACTACGCCCGGCTGATTTTTTGATTTATTGTAGAGATGAGGTCTCGCCAAGTTGCCCAGGTGGGTCTCGAACCCGCGGGCTCAGGCAATCCACTCACTTCAGTCTCCCAAAGTGCAGGATTGCAGGCTGAGCCACCAAGCCTGGCAGCTTAGGAGGTTTTAAAAAGAAAACACACCAAACCTCACACTTAAGCCTCATGCCCAGAGTCTGATTAAAATCTTAGGGAGTGTGTTACCCAGTAAGACTAGTTTGCAACTGGGACTGAGATCTTATAACTTAGGGACCTCAAACTTTAAGAATGAAACAGCTCGGCTGGGCGTGGTGGCTCAGCCTGTAATCCTAGCACTGAGCAACATGGCAAAACCTCGTCACTACAATAAATCAAAAAATCAGCCAGGCATCGTGGCACATGCCTGTGGTTCCAGCTACTTGGAAGGCTGAAGCGGAAGAATTGCCTGAGCCCAGTGGGTCCAGGCTGCAGTGGCCGTGAGCATGCCACTGCACTCCAGCCTGGGAAACAGAGTAGTGGTGGGTATGGAGATTTGGCTGGTGAGCTTTGGAAAGAAAGAAGGCTCATGTGCATTAAGTTCAAGTTTTCTCCCCCCACTGCAGAGAGATGTGAAAAAAGCCAGGTGATGCTTTTTGACATTTTGGGCATAGACAGATGCCTTTCAGAGCGTGATGAAAAGTCCTGGAATGAGGTGACTTGGGCAAGCTTCACAAGGTAGCCTTTTCCATAGCAATAGGTAAGGAGCAAAGACTTCAGCAATTCCATGGTTCAATATATGCTCGATATTTATCAAAATAAAATGATTCTGAACAATCAAAATCCAAATGACTGTCTGAATATGTCCAGCTAGGTATTACCACTGATATGTCATGAAAATGAAGGCATGCCTCAAAGACACCGTGGTTCAGTTCCAGACCACTGCCAAAAATAAAACGAATTTCATAGTGAAGGGAGGGAGTCACACAAAGCTTTGGTTTTCCAGGGCAGATACAAGTTATGTTTACACTCTACTGTAGTCTATTAAGTGTGCAATAGGATTATGCCTGGGCAAAAACAACATACTTATTGTATATTAACTAAAAAATACTTGATTGTGAAAAAATGCTAATGATCATTTGAGCCTTCATAAGCTTTTTACTGGTGGATGGTCTTGTCTCGATGTTGATGGCAGATGACTGAACACAATGGTGGGTGCTGAAAACTGGAGTGGCTGTGGCAATTTCTTAAAATAAAACAAAAATGAAGCTTGCCAAAGTCAATTGTCTTTTGCTTTCACAAAAGACTCCTCTATATTATGCAATGCTGTCTGATAGCATTTTATCCACAGAACTTCTTTCAAAACTGGAGTCAATCTAGCCGGGCATGGTGGCTCATGTCTATAATCCAGCACTTTGGGAGGCTGAGGTGAGAGGACTGCCTGAGCCCAGGGTTCGAGACCAGCCTGGGCAACTTGGTGACACTTCGTCTCTACAGTAAATCAAAAAAATTAGCTGGGCATGGTTGCATACGCCTGTAGTTCCAGCTACTTGAAAGGCTGAGGCAGAAGGATCGCCTGAGTCCAGCAGGTAGAGGCTGCGGTAGCTGTGAGCGTGACACTGTACTCCACTCCAGCCTGGGTGACAGTGAGACTCCGACTCAAAAAGAAAAAAATTGGACTCAATCTTTTTAAACCCTGCCACTGCTGTATCAACTAAGTTCACGAAATATTCTAAGCCCTTTGTTGTCATTTCACCAATGTCCATAGCATCTTCACTAGGAAGAGATTCCATCTCAAGAAATCACTTTTTTTTATTCATCTGTAAGAAGCAATTCTTTATCTGTTCAAGTTTGCTGATGAGACTGTAGCAATTCATTCTCATCTCCAGGATCCACTTTAAATTCTAGTTCTTTTGCTATTTCCACCACATCTGCAGTGATTTCTTCTACTAAAGTCTTGTACCCCTCAAAACCATGAAGGTAGGAATCAACTTTTTCCAAACTCCTATAAATGTTAATATTTTGACCTCCTGCAAATCATGAATGAATGTTCTTAATGGCATCTAGAACGATGAACTCACCCCAGAAGGTTTTCAACTTACTTTGACCAGATCCAACTGAGGAATCACTGTCTGTGATAACTACAGCCTTATCAAAAATATTTCTTTTTTTTTTTTTTTTTTTTGAGTTGGAGTCTCACTCTGTCACCCAGGCTGGAGGGCAGCGGCATGCTCCCGGTCACCGCAGTCTCAACCTGCTAGGCTCAAGTGATCCTTTTGCCTCAGCCTTCCAAGTAGTTGGAACTATAGGCGCATGCTGCCACACCCAGCTAATTTTTGATTTATTGTAGATACGAGGTCTCACCAAGTTGCCCGGGTGGGTCTTGAACCCACAGACTCAGGCAATCCACTCACCTCGGCCTCCCAAAGTGCTGGGATTACAGGCTGAGCCACCAAGTCCGGCCGCAAAATGTATTTCTTAAATAATAAGATCTGAAAGTCAAAATCATTCCTTGATCCATGGGCTGCACAATGGATGCTGTGTTCACAGGCATGAAAACAACATTCATCTCTTTGTCTATTTCCATCAGAGCTCTGGGGTGATTAGGTGCACTGTCAGTGAGCAGTAATATTTTCAAAGGAATCTTTTTTCTAAGCAGTGGGTCCTAACAGTGGGCCTGAAATATTCACTAAAACATGCGGGAAACAGATGTGGTGTCATCCAGGCTTTGCTGTTATATTTATAGAGCACAGGCAAGGCAGATATTAGCATAATTCTTTTTGTTTTCTTTTTTTGAGTAGGAGTCTCACTCTATCACCCAGGCTGGAGTGCAGTGGCAGGCTCACGGCCACCGCAGCCACGACTGCTGGGCTCAGGTGATCCTTCCACCTCAGCCTTCAAAGTAGCTGGAACCACAGGCATGTACCACCATGCCCAGCTGATTTTTTGATTTATCATAGAAACATGGTCTTGCCATGATGCCCAGGTTGGTCTCAAACCCATGGGCTCAGGCAATCCTCTTGCCTCTGCCTCTCAAAGTGCTGGGATTACAAGCGTGAGACACCATGCCCAAGGACTTTCAGAATGGTCAATAAGCACTGGCCTCAACTTAAATCACCAGCTGCATTAGTCCCTACCAAGAGTCAGCCTGTCCTTTGAAGCACTGAGGCCAGACATTGACTTCTCCTCTCTAGCTATGAAAGTCCTAGATGGTATATTCTTCCAACAGAAGATTATTTTGTCTACATTTAAAAAAATTTGTGGCCAGGCTCGGAGGTTCAGCCTGTAATCCCAGCACTTTGGGAGACCGAGGTGAGTGGATTGCCTGAGCCCGCGGGTTCGAGACCCGCCTGGGCAAGCAAGACCTCATCTCCACAATAAATCAAAAATCAGCCAGATGTGGTGGCGCGTGCCTGTAGTTCCAGCTACTCGGAAGGCTGAGGCGGAAGGATCGCTGGAGCCCAGCAGGTCGAGGCTACAGTGGCCGGGAGTGGCCATTGCACTCCAGTCTGGGTGACAGAGTGAGACTCTAACTCAAAAAAAATAAAATAAAATAAATAATAATAATTTGTTTAGTGTAGCCATCTTGATAATTCTGAGCTAGATCTTCTTAATAACTGCTGCGGCTTCCACATCAGCATTTGCTGCTTCACCTTGCACTTTTATGTTACAGTGACAGCTTCTTTCCTTAAACCTCATGAGCCAACCTCTGCTAGTTTCCAACTTTCCTTCTACAGTTTCCTCACCTCTCAGCCTTCATAGAATTGAAGAGTTGGGGCCTTGCTCTGTAACAGGCTTTGGCTTACGGAATATTGTGGCTGGTTTCATCTTCTTTTTTTTTTTTGAGTTGGAATCTCACTCTGTCACCCAGACTGGAGTGCAGTAGACGCTCCCGGCCACCGCAGCCTCGACCTGCTGGGCTCCGGCGATCCTTCCGCCTCAACCTTCCAAATAGCCAGAATTATAGGCATGCGCTACCATGCCCGGCTGATTTTTTGATTTATTGTAGAGATGGGGTCTCGTCGCCCAGGTGGGTCTCGAAGCCATGGGCTCAGGCAATCCACTCACCTCAGCCTCCCAAAGGCGCGGGATTACAGGCTGAGCCATCGAGCCCGGCTGCTGGTCTCATCTTCTATCCAGACCACTGTAATTGTCTTTATATCAGCAATAAGAATGTTTTACTTTCTAATTTTCATGTGCTCACTGGAGTACAACTTCAATTTCCTTCAAGAATTTTTCCTTTGCCTTTACACCTTGGCTGTTTGGCACAAAAGGCCAAATTTTGGGCCTATCTTGGCTGTCAACATGCCTTCCTTAATAAGCTTAATCATTTCTAGCTTTTAATTTTAAGTGAGAGATATGCAACTCTACCTTGAACTTGCTCACTTAGAGGCCAATGCAGGGTTATTAATCTCAATACTGTTGTGTTTCAGGGAATAGGAAGGCCCCAGGAGATGGGGGAGCAGTAAGTCATGGAGCAAACTTTTATTGATTAAGTCTGCTATCGTCTATGGGCATAGTTCATTGTGTTCTAAAACTATTACAACTAAATCATCAAAGATCACTGATCACCATAACAGAAATAAGTGAAAAATTTTGAAATACTGCAAGAATTACCAAAATGCGACACAGAGACACAAAGTGAGCACATGACACAGAGACATGAAGTGCGCACACACTGCTGGGAAAATGGTCCAACAGACTTGCTTGACTTAGGGTTCCCACAAACCTTCAATTTGTTAAAAAAACAAAACAAAAAACCAGTATTTTTTAAGCCCAAGAAAGTGAAGCACAAGAAAACAAGTGATGCCTGTAACCAACTGAAAAATGGAGACGGACCTGGAAATACCACTTTACCCATGTAAGCAAACCTTAACATCACCTATGTCAGGGCAAAATGAAATCATATGATGTGATACACACCATCTCTGTGATATGACTGCCCCAAATCCCACATCTGAGTCTCATCATGTGGCAGTAATCAAATCCAAACTGAGGAACAGTCTTCAAAATTACTGGCCTGACCTCTTCCCAGATGTGAATGTGGTGAAAGACAGAAAAAAACTCAGAATTACTTGAGATTAAAAGAGGTTAATGAGACAAAAACAGAATGTAATGTGTGATCTTTGATTGGCTCCTGAATTGGAGGAGGGAAAAAAGTCATAAAGAGCATTATGGGGACAATTGTGGAAACGTGAATATGACTGTAGATTAGATTGCTATTAAATTTCTTGAGCTAGGCTGGGCTCGGTGGCTCAGCCTATAATCTCAGCACTTTAGGAGGCCGAGGTGAGTGGCTTGCCTGAGCCCGTGGGTTCGAGACCAGCCCAGGCAACTTGGTGAGACCTTGTCTCTACAATAAATCAAAAATTACCCGGGCATGGTAGTGCACGCCTGTAGTTCTGGCTACTTGGAAGGCTGAGGTGGAAGGATCACTGGAGCCCAGCAGGTCAATGCTGGGGTGGCAGTGAGCATGCCACTGCACTCCAGCCTGGGCGATGGAGTAAGACTCCAACTCAAAAAAAAAATTATTGAGTCAGATACATATTGTGTCCTTGTTTTTAGGAGATTTAATTGACATAGTCAGGAGTAAAGTGTCTTATAATGCCTGTAATTCATTCTCAAATGTTTCAGAAAAAAATTACATAGAAAAGAAAGAGATACAGCAAAATGGTGCAAAACGTTAGCAAGTGCTGAATCTTGGTGAAGGGAATAGCATTTATTATACAATTTTTGTGATTTCTCTATATGTTTGAAAAAAAAAAAAGACAAGGTGGGTACATTTGTCCATAGGGTTTTATCATGTACTTCAATTCAACTTTTTTCATGTACTTCAATTCAACTTGGTTATAATTATTTCCAGTGCTGGTTTTTATTTAATAAACTTCTTGTTTGCAGTATGACTGACTATGAAGAAATAAATATGGTCCCCAGAGGCAGGAAGCATAAGAGCCACTGCAGAGCTTTCTCTTCTGGACATCATAAAGGTCTGCTCTGTAACTGCCCTTCATGGAGGGCAGGCTCCACGTGAAGATAAATGCTCAACAGCAAGGCACTTTGCTTGAATCATCAAGTACACTTATCTCTGTGAGAAGTGTCCGAGAGAAGGCTGGCAGCATTAAAGCCATTGCAAATCTCTCAATTCAGAATATGAAAATCATAGCCCACTAGTGTGAGACACAGGAAGCAAGAAAAAATCACTAGTCCAACTGAAGCTGAGAAGGCAGAACTGAGGTCTCAAGTTATTTGCTTAAATTCATACCTGATGGTGAGGGAGTGACTGAGGACTTCAATGATATGGAACCTGAAGAGGCCAAGAGAGGTGTGGGATGGCTGAGAGGTCCAGAAGCAGCTGGCTTGGAGGCAGGAAAGAATGGTGGCATCGAGGCGTTAGCAGGAGAAGAGGCAGCCATGGCAGTAAACCTGAAAAACGGCAGCCAAATGCCTCAGAAGAGGCTGCTAGAAGGTTCTTTCACACTGGCACCAAGCGATGTCGTCAATGGATAACTTACTTTGACTACTTTTTTGCCTTCAGAAAATAATAAGTTCAGCTATTGCTTATAAAAGGTGAAAGCTGCAAGGAAACATTTATCTTACAGTCTGCATATTTAGAAATGAACTATTCAACTAAATTGTCAAGGATGTAACTTGAAGATAAAAGCAGGGTTATCATAATATGAAATACGTCTAGTGTATCCAGCTCAGTAAAAAAAGTGGGGAGTGGGACCCAATTAGGCTTAGGAGAGTTTAGCACCTTCCCTTTACCAAGGAAATGACTGAGAACTCATTTTAGGGGTGATCGCTTTCTCTGGGGAATGAAAAAGAAGAGGAAAACAGGTCACTACCTTTGTATCTTACTATGCTTACTGTCTAAAGGGAATGTAAAGTCAATTCACCTAAAAAGCAGAAGTCTCTAAGCCACCCAAATAGTCAGCATTAGATGACTTGTCATATGAATTGTGGTGCAGCCAACAAAATGGAATACTATGCAACCCTTAGAATGCAGTGGCTGTGTGCTGATCTGATAGCAACAATAACAGCAACAGCAGCAGTACCAGAGTAACAACAGAGTACAGGCGAGCAGGGGACATGCTGGGCGTATTTACACTCGGTGGTGATCTTGGGAGGAGTTGCTTCCCTCAAGAGGCTTACAATCTAGTGGGGAGTACAGAACCAGTAGATAAAGGAGCAAATAAATAAGAAATGAATAAGCTACAGGACCTAGATCTGGAGGGAACTGGACACCATGCTAAAGGTTGGAACGATGTGGAAAGCAGTGAGAAGTCGCTGGGGACTATCAGGCAGAAGAGGCGCCTCCTACGTTTACAATTTCATAAGATCACTTTGGTGGCCTCCTATGTTTACAATTTCATAAGATCACTTTTAAAAGTAAGGAATATCTCCTACATTTGTATGTGAAAAAGCAAAATAAACATTTAAATATAAATCCCTAGTAGTCAAAAAAATAAAATGCCGAGAGACCCTTCTAGACTCTATCCAGAAATAATAAGTGAAAATTTTTGAAACACTGCAAGAATTAGTAAAATGTGACACAGAGACACAAAGTTTCCTGAAATGCAAACTTTTTATGTTGGATGAATTTTTACCATTTGCAAGTATTACTTTGGGGAAAACATTCTATCCATGTAACTCCACTCACGGTGACTTTACTTCCAGCAAATGACGTGCCATATTTCTACCCATCCTACAAAAGAATCAGACTTTTAAAGTGACTCACTTTTCACTAAGGTTGACTTTGACCGCAGAGGTTGAAGGTGGGAAGGTGGGCTTCATTGCTGTGTTTGGAGCAGGCACACTTGGCACTGGTGTACTTTCCAGGGTAGGCTTAAAACCCGATGGTCCAAAAGGGAATGAAGCAGCTGCCGGGGCCATAGGAGACACTGCAGAGGTGGGGGTCGGGGAGGCTTTAGAAGGAGGAGCAAAAGAGAAGGTAGATGCGCCAGAGCCCAGGGCTGCTTTGGAGCTGTCAGAGCCACTGGAATACGAAGGGGGCTCCCCAGTGACAGAAGTGGGTGATTTCAAGGATGAAGAGCCAAAGGCGAACACAGCAGGGGCTCCAGCAGCAGAAAGCAAAGAGAAGTTGGCGAGGGGAGACGCAGGTGATAAAGAGGGCAGAGAGGCAGAGGCCGCAGCTGCAGAGGCATCCAGTTTCTGTGGAGCTTGAGGGGAGGTCGGCATAGTAGGAGTACTTCCTGCAGTGAAAAAAAGGAGAAAAAGGAAAAGTTAACACTGCCGCTGTGGAGGTCCACATAACAGAAAGCAAGTGAAAAAGAGTTTATGGTGGAATGAAGCCAGAAATGGTCCTAGTTCAAGAAGAAAAACAAAAAGATGAGAAGAGAGTTAATATTGGACTTCTCACCTAGGAGAAGATGTATAAAACTGACCAGGCATGGTGGCTCATGCCTGTAATCCCAGCACTTTGGGAGGCCAAGGCAAGAGAATTGCTTGGGCCCGGGGGTTTGAGAACTCATCTCTTTAAAAAAAAAAAAAAAGCCAGTCATGGTGACACATGCCTATAGTCCCTGTTTCTCAGGAGACTGAGGCAGAAGGACTGCCTCAGCCCAGGAGATCAAGGCTGCACTGAGCTGTGATCATGCCACACTCTCCAGCCTGGGTGACAGAGGAAGACTCTGAATCAACAACAAAAACAAAAAACCAAAACAAGCAAAAAAAATCTTATTAATGAGATATCATCGTATTTCAAAAAAATGTATGAAACTCTGAAGGAAAAAGGAACTGAGAAAGACATTGGACTAACAGGACTTCATGGACACCCAACTGAAGAATACAGAAAAAAACACTCTTCTCAAGGTTACTATGGTACACAAAACGAAAAATTCTGTAACACTTCATTAACACGAGGAAAAAATTTTAATTCAGACCTGCACCTCATAATATTCACTAAAAGCAAGTCCAGATGAAGTAAAGGTGTATTTTTTTTCAGGAAAAACTCCCCAACCGTGTTTTTCCCTCTGCTCTCACCACCGCAATCATCAACACAGAAAACGACTTCTGAGAACAAATGTGGGGGTTTCACCCCACCATCAAGCAGGCACACCAGCTAGGTATCCTCCAGTTCAACCCAATTCTACCTGGAGATAATGTCAGATTCCACAGGGTGAGGGCTCAGTCCCACAAGACTGCTGCCCCTCCCCAGATATCAGTCCCAAGAGTGGACCTGTGGAACTTCTGACCAACTGGCTTCAAGTTGGGGTTCCCACGACCCCTCTCTTTGGGTTTGATTACTTTGCTGGAGGGGCTCACAGAACTCAGGGTAACACTTATTTACTGGCTTATTCTAAAGGACATTCTTTTTTTTATGTCGGAGTCTCACACTGTGGCCCAGGCTGGAATGCAGTGGCACACTCAAACCACCACAGCCTCGACCTGCTGGACTCGGGCAATCCTTCTGCCTCAGCCTTCCAAGCAGCTGGAACTACAGGCACGCGCCTCCACACCTGGCTAATTTTTTTGATTTATTGTAGAGATGAGGTCTCACCAAGTTACCCAAGCTAGTCTCGAACCCGTGGGCTCAGACAACCCGCTCACCTCGGTCTCATAAAGTACTGGGATTATAGGCGTTAGCCACTGCGCCCGGCTATAAAGGACATTTTAAAGGACACAGATGAAGAGATGCAAGGGGGGAGGTAAGGGGACAGGGATGTAGTGCCTCCATGCCCTCCCCAGGCATGACCATCCTCCAGGAACCTCTAGACCAGCTCTCAAGCTTCGTCCTGGGTTTTTATGGAAGCTTCAAGACACCGGCATTCCTTTCCCCAGGGTATAGAGCAGGATCTCCTTGGGAATGGTTTTAACACCCACAGTCAGAACTGGGGGAGGTTAGAATCCTTGGGGCACGTGAACGGAGAACAGAAGGTCAGAGATTCTGTTCCCTGAGGCCTAAAGCGCCACAACAAGATTGAAAGAACTGTACCAAGGGCAATGGGAGTTATGAGCCAAGAACCATGGATGAAAACCAGTATCTTTCAGGGGGACCAAAAAAACCTGGAATTTATTTATTAAAAAGTGTACATCTTTAAACTTCGGTCACCTTCAAAATACTCTCCATTTAATGTAATATACTTATCCACTTTTTCCACTGCTCAAAACAGTTTTGTTTTTTTTTTTTGAGTTGGAGTCTCACTCTGTTGCCCAGACTGGAGTGCAGTGGCTGCTCCCGGCCACCGCAGCCTCGACCTGCTGGGCTCCGGCGATCCTTTCGCCTTAGCCCTCCAAGTAGCTGGAACTACAGGCACACGCTACCACGCCCGGCTAATTTTTGATTTATTGTAGAGATGAGGTCTTGCCAAGTTGCCCAGGCGGGTCTCGAACCTGTGGGCTCAGGCAATCCACTCACCTCAGCCTCCCAAAGTGCTGGGATTACAGGCTGAGCCACCAAGCTGGGCTCAAAACAGGTTTTAAACTCATCAGTTTTGGTGCTTTTTAGTGCTTCTGCTGTTTTTTGTTGCACCCCTTTCCACATCAGCAAAACATTTCCCTTTGAGGACTTTTTTCATCCGGGGAAATAAAAAAGTCACTCAGGGTGAGATCAGGTGAATAGAAGCATAGGGTCATGACGTTTTTGGTCAAAAGCTGCCGAACACTCAGCACCATGTGGACAAGTGTGCTCCTAAATCACTCATCATAAAATGGGCAAATGCACTGAAAGAATCTCCAAAAAAATTCACTGATGCCAAATGTAGCCTCTCACAACAACACGAGCTGGTACACTGATGTCATGAGTTCCTAGAACACTCACCTAGTGGGGATATACTACAACAGATATGCCCTCCAAAAAGTAATTCTGGTTTTCTTTGTATCCCCCTTGAATATCACACCACCACATATGTATATCACACATATGTATGTAGAAAAAAGCACATATATCCCAAAGGAGGCAAAAGATGAGTTGATATATGTCAGGTCTCTGAGAGCCTAACGTCCTGATAAATTTGGAGATGACAGAAAAAAAAATCACAAAAGGAGATTTAAAAAATGACTACTTAGGCATGACAAAATAACTACAAGGTAAATGATCTAAAGAGATCTATAGAAAATGACAATATGTTTCTAAAAACTCATTCAAGATATTAAAATTTCAAGATACTAATAATTATAAGCTGGAAACATAACTTACAAAAGAAAATATATCAATTTCTCTAATCACAGAAATAAAAATTTAAATGAGGTGTATGTTTTATTGCACTTCAAATCATCAAATTCAAATACATATAATCCATTGTGTTTGGAACAAGAAAAACAAACCTGAGGCCGGGCTTGGTGGCTCAGCCTGTAATCCCAGCACTTTGGGAGGCCGAGGCAAGTGGACTGCCTGAGACAGTGGGTTTGAGACCCACCCGGACAACTTGGCGAGACCTCGTCTCTATGATAAATCAAAAATTAGCCAGGTAAGGTAGCGCGCGCCTATAGTTCCAGCTACTTGGAAGGCTGAGGCGGAAGGATCGCCGGAGCCCCTCAGTTCGAGGCTGCGGTGGCTGGGAGCATGCCACTGCACTCCAGGCTGGGCGACAGAGTGAGACTCCAACTCAAACAAAACAAAAAAAAAGAAAAAGAAAAACAAACCTGAAAGGTTTCTGATCATTGGTAGGTAACTAGTCTATTAGCAAGGATTATTAGAAAACATTTTGGCACTATGTCTTCATAATCATAAAAAAATGGACCCAATAATTCTACTTCTAAGAATAAAATATACAAAAATAATCTAAAAAATTAAGATACTGACTACAATTCAAATGGTAAAAAATAGCCAACAGAATGTTAAGCAATCATTCTTTTAAACGGATCACACAGAATACAAAAGAATCTGGATCATGCATATAATTTAAATTTAAAACCAGCACAGCAATTATGTGCACATTATGATTACAACTGTGAAGAAAGATGCTTATGAAGGAACACTGGGGCAGGGCATGGTGACTCATGGCTCACACCTGTAATCTTAGCACTCTGGGAAGCCAATTGGAAGGATCACTTGAGCCCAGGAGTTCAACACCACCCTGGGCAACACAGTAAGACCTTGTCTCTACAAAAAAAAAAAAAAAAATCAAAAAAATTTAGCTGGGCATGATAGCACCCACCTGTAGTCCTGGTTACTCGGTAAGCTGAGGTGAGCCAAGGTGAGCCATGATCATGCCACTGCACCCCAGCCTGGGGAACCAAGTGAGACCTTGACCCAAGAAAAAAAAAAAAAAAAGAGAGAAAGAAAAACACTGGAAAGAGTTTAATTTTTTTTATATTTTTCAAACTTTCTATACAGCAAACATATTAATCTTTAAATTAACTAACTACCTAAGTAAATTAAAAAGCAATGCTTTTGTGTCAATACACTTCCTAATTAAATTAACAGTCATTCGTTCTTCCCAATTACCTATGATGACAGTTTATCCTCCTGGAAGGTACTCTGTCTAAAGCAATGAAAATACTTAGGATACAAGTATGAAAATATCACTTTCTGAAAACCCAGACCCACGTACATTGTCACTTTGAGGAAAGTATAATGATGCAAGCAAATCTATTCTGTTAATACTTCTTTTAAGCCACACACAATGGCTCATGCTTGTTATCCCAGGACTTTGAAAGGCTGAAGTGGGAGGACTGCTTGAGCCTAGGAATTCAAGACCAGCCTGAGCAACACAGGGAGACTTCACCTCCAGAAAATATCAAAAAAAGTAGCCAGGCAAGGTGGTGCACCTGTATATCCCAGCTACTCCAGAGGCTGAGGTGGAAGAATCACCTGAGCCCAGGACATCAGGGCAGCGGTGAGCTGTGATTGTGCCACTGTACTCCAGCCTGGGTACCAAAACAAAACAAAAAACAAACAACAAAAATACCTTGACTTATTTTACATAATAGATATGGAACCAGGAATAGTTAGCTTCTTTAAAGATACAAGCACAGGGCCGGGCTCAGTGGCTCAGCCTGTAATCCCAGCACTTTGGGAGGCTGAGGTGAATGGATTGCCTGAGTCCGCGGGTTCGAGACCCGCCTGGTCAACTTGACGAGACCTCATCTCTACAATAAATTAAAAATTAGCCAGGCATGGTAGCGTGCGCCTGTAGTTCCAGCTACTTGGAGGGCTAAAGCGAAAGGATCCCCGGAGCCCAGCAGGTCGAGGCTTCGGTGGCCAGGAGCGGCCACTGCATTCCAGTCTGGGCGACATAGTGAGACTCCAACTCAAAAAAAAAAAAAAAAAAAAGATGCAAGCACATGGATGTTAAACACTTACATGCATAGTAGGTAGACTAACATGAAATATATATGCCAGACTCTAAGAAACCAAAGGCATTTCTCCAGTGAAAATAGGACTGATTCTTTGAAAATCATCATGCTCTTACTGTCTCTGATCATTCAATACCATATCCTTAGAACTGCAGTGTAGAAATGAACGCAACCACTAATGAATGTTTTCACTTAGGCTGTAGCTAGTCTTCCAAGTTGATGGAACAGACTTCTTCCACACTGATGGGCTCTCTTCCATCTGAACATGACTATTTCCTTTGGACCAACCATGAGGGAAGAGGGGAGTTTCTCCAAGAAAGGATAACAGGAAAACTGGCTTCTGGTTGTGCTCTGGTGTGTAATGGGGTAGTAGCAGGGTCCATCCACTGAACCATGCTCAGAAACAAACCATACCACAAGTTCTTGACATTACTGGCCACCTTGCCTGTTACAGACAGACCAAGCAACTGGGAACAGGTAGCTCATGGTACTCATGACCACTTAATAAAGGGAAAAAACAACTCAGAGAACATACACACTATGGATAATAAAGTATCTCAATAAAACACTGGTATACTCTATGCAAGCTATCTGGTACATAACTTGGGGTCACACTACCAGTTGGTAGGGCCCAAGTATCAGAGTGGCTCTATTTATGAAGTACAATTGGCTCTGCAATGAAAAGCAGTGAGAAAATACACCCTAAATATTGTCAACCTTACCCACACAAACTAGTCAACAAATGTTTCCTTAGATAAGGGACTGGTGATACTAGAAGAAAAAAATTATATTAACTATATATTTGAGGCCTGGTGCGGTAGTTCAAGCTTGTAATCTCAGTAATTCGGGAGGCCAAGGCGAGAGGACTACCTGAGCTCAGGGATTTGACACTAGTCTGGGCAACTTGGTAAGACCTCATCTCTACAATAAATTTTTAAAAAATGAGCCAGGCATGGTAGTACACACCTCTAGTTCCAGCTACTTGGAAGGCTGAGGCAGAAGACTTGCCTGAGCCCAGCAGCTTGAGGCTGCAGAGGCCATCAGCGTGCCACTGCACTCCAGCCTGGGCAACAGAGTGAGACTCTGACTCAAAATAAATAAATAAATAAATAAATAAATAATTTTTAAAAATATTTATTAGAGACAGTGATGTAATCATAGCAACACAGTGAGACTCTGACTCAAAATAAATAAATAAATAAATAATAATTTTTAAAAATATTTATTAGAGACAGTGATGTAATCATAGCTCACTGAAACCTCAAACTCCTGGGCTCAAGCAATCCTCCCACCAAAGTTTCTTGAGTAGCTAGGACTATAGGTGCACACCACCATGCCTGGCTAATTTTTTATAGAGATGAGATCTAGCTCTGTTGCTCAGGTTGGTCTCAAACTCCTAGCTTCAAGTGATCCTCCTGCCTCAGTCTCCCAAAGTGTTGGGATTACAGGCATGTAATCCACTATATTAGTTATATACTAATGGAATTTAAAAGGAGAAATATTGGTGAAATTTCAGTATATGAGATAATATTCTTTTTAAAAGTTTTACATTTTCTTCTCACAGTGATACAATGCCATTGTGAAAATGTTTAAAATGCAGGTTTAGTATTTATTTGAGTCCATTCATTTGCATGAAGAACATGGGACAAAATGTTGACTATGACTACTGCTTGACGGCTTTCAATGATTTTCTCCAATAAACATGTTACTCTTAGGCAATGTTTTCACAAAGAAGGATAAAGCAAATCTAAAGAAAGTAAAACAAACAAAAAACATATATCCCCATGTTCCCACCAAGCAGATATACATCTTTCAAATTATATATATATATTTTTTGAGTTGGAGTCTCACTCTGTCGCCCAGACTGGAGTGCAGTGGCCGCTCCCGGCCACCGCAGCCTCGACCTGCTGGGCTCCGACGATCCTTCTGCCTCAGCCTTCCAAGTAGCTGGAACTACAGGCGTGAGCTACCATGCCCGGCTTATTTTGTGATTTATTGTAGAGATGAGGTCTCGCCAAGTTGCCTAGGCGCGTCTCGAACCCGCGGGCTCAGGCAATCCACTCACCTCAGCCTCCCAAAGGCATGGGATTACAGGCTGAGCCACCGAGCCCGGCTCAAATATTTTTTGTATGTTTATGTTTTTCTAATACAAAATGATGGCAGAATATAGCAGGTTTTTAAAATATATTCCACTCATTCCTTGTCAATAAATATAACATTTTTACTGTATAACTGTATAGCACTGTACAACCATTTATTTAACCAGTCCTAAACAGACCATAGTATACAAGATCTCATAACAGGATACTGTTGGGATCCATCTAGCTGATGTTCCTTGATTTCTAAGATAAGATAATGGCTGGAGAATAAAGCCTGGACATAAGGGAAGGCAAGTATGTGCATGTGTGTTCAAAAAAAAGATCCGTCCATGACTTCCGAAGATAAACTGGTCAGGTAAAGATACCCAATATGGATGCTTACACCATTCTTATCTTTGGAAATACTCCTGTGTAAGCCCCCAGTGCTCCCTTACTGATAAAGCAGGTAAGGCACATACCTGGTGACTTGGGTTGTCGCTCTCCCTCTAAAGAGAGCCGCTCCGGTGTCCTGATGGGACACTTAACCCCAGGATTTTGATTGATCATATAAAATGGACAAAGCACACCATCTGTTGAAAGTAACATGAGAACTGGAGCAGGAGGAAGAGTCTTTTCATCATCTGTTAAAAAAGAAAACAAAAGCGATAAAAGAGCCACGTCAAGCAAAGAGCCTGGGCCCGGAAGGGAAAGACTGCCCTAGACAAGAAGAGGGATTGAGGGACTCATCTCAATAGAGCTGGAGTCAGTTTGTTCGGATTCAGATCAGAACAGCTTTTCATACTCCAACAACTTAAAGAGAGCTCCTGCCACTATCAGATGGCCCCATCCTGCTAAGCCCTGCCTAGAATCCCCATCAGTCCCTAGCAGCTCTGATTCTCCCAAAGGTCCCTCAGTTTTTTTATAAGCATCTCAGTGTTCAGGAGGTAGGTTCGGCATTCCCTCCAACCCAGACAAGAGTCTCTATGAAGTACTTGGTTTAGTAGAAAAATGACAGACTAGACTCTGGAAAACACACAGTAGCACACAGAAAGACAAGTCAAACTACTTTATACTTATTCACAACTGGATCATAAGTATATATTTTGTCAATTAAGAGTTCAGGAGAGAGATCTGGTGTGATGGCTCATGCCTGTAATTCCAGCACTTTGGGAGGCCGAGGTGGGCAGATTGCTTGAGCTTAGGAGTTTGAGACCAGCCTGGGCAACATAGAGAAATCCTATCTTATCAAAAATGATATACTATAGGCCAAGCTCGGTGGCTCAGTCTGTAATTCCAGTGCTTTGGGAGGCCAAGGCGAGTGGATTGTCTGAGCCTGCGGGTTCGAGACCTGCCTGGGCAACTTGGCGAGACCTCATCTCTACAATAAAATTTTTTTTCAAAGCCGGGCTTGGTGGCTCAGCCTGTAATCCCGCGCCTTTGGGAGGCTGAGGTGAGTGGATTGCCTGAGCCTGCGGGTTCCAGACCCGCCTGGGCAGCAAGACCTCATCTCTACAATAAATCAAAAAATCAGCCAAGCATGGTAGCGCATGCCTGTAATTCCGGCTACTTGGAAGGCTGAGGCGGAAGGATCGCCGGAGCCCAGCGGGTCGAGGCTGTGGTGGCCGGGAGCGGCCACTGCACTCCAGTCTGGGCAACAGAGTGAGACTCCAACTCAAAAAAAAAAACTCGCTAGGCGTGGTAGCGCGCGCCTGTAGCTCCAGCTACTTGGAAAGCTGAGGTAGAAGGATCGCCCAAGCCGTGCCACTGTACTCCAGTCTGGGTAATGGAATGAGACACCAACTCAAAAAAAAAAAAAACAACAACTATAAAATAATATAAAACAAAATTAAAAGACTTCAAGAGAATCAGAGCAAATGAACTAATCAGACCAGGGAAAGCACAAGGAACCTAATGGTGCCCAACAAGAACACCTCTCTAACCTGAAAAACCAGACATCAAAGACTTTCCTCTGTTGCACTTTCGCATTTCACTGAATACACAGTGCCAAGCTCCTGCAAGGGAGGTCTCTGCACAGCACATACCCAAGCCTAATTTGGAAATCAAGGGCTTGAGGTCTTCATTTTCTAATCCTCGTCTTTAAACCAAGGATCGAGGGCAGTACTGGGTGAGAGTACTGCTCCTTCAGGAGGTCACCAGAAAAATGGGTTTGACAGAAAAAAAAAATCAAGCTATGAAATCCTGACATTCTATATTTAACCAGATTCTAAAGTACAACTAGATACGTGCATGGGTGCACACATACACATAGACATATACACCAATGTGTCTGGCTTTGGCTTGACAATGAACAGCTATTCAAACTAATTCAATGTTGCCACAATGCACCCTGTATCACTCTTCAGGGTAGAAGAGTGCTGCTGTAAGTTTAAAGGGCCCAGCAGAGTTGACTCTGTCATGAACATGTGTGATGAGTTTTTCCTTCTTTTCCAAAGAAGGCTATTTCTGCACTAAGCACCAGGCTATACTTACTGATGGTGATTTCCACTTGGTTAGTATAATCTATGGCAACTCCCACAGGTAAGGAGTCATCACTCTTGTCTGTCACAGGCAGTTCAGCTCGACTCGAATCCTCCAGTAGCCAAGATTCCCAATTAATCTAAAAAAAAAAAAGAGAAGCAAATACCATGTTGGTTTGAGCTTTGCACTGATTTCTCCCAGTACCATTCAAACAGGAGAGAACAAGATGCCTTACTTGGTTTAGATTCATGTGTTGGACTAGGAGGCTCTGAAATTCAGTAAACCATGAGTAGCCCAGCAAGTAAGAGGGGAATTTTTCAAATCAAGCCCTCCATCTCTTTCTGTTGTACCAAGTCTCAACTTTGTGAATTATCAGGATTACAAGGGACCTTGTACTACAACCAGGTAGACTGCTGTCAATGAGGGGCAATTCCAGTAGCTACACAAAACCAGTCAACACCTGCCCCTAGTTACTGTGAACTGGACCCAGGAATCCAGCTGATCTCTGCTTGGGTCTTCCGCAGAGAAGCCTATAAAGCTGGCCTGTGTTCAGACATCCTGTGCTTGCTTGTCTACAACTCAGAAGGTGACTTTATTTATTTATTTTATTCATTTTTTTAAGAGTCGAGGTCTCTCCAAGTTGCTTGGGCTGGTCTTGAAGCCGCAGGCTCAGACAATCCACACATTTCGGCCTCCCGAAGTGCTAGGATTACAGGCTGAGCTACCAAGCCCAGCCAGAAGGTGACTTTAATTCTTATGTTACCAGTTCTTGGCATCAGTTGCTCAGACTGATCAGTCTTCTTGCCCCTGCATTCTTTGAGAAACCCATAAGTCTCCCTAGTAAACCTCTCTTTTGCTTCAGTTCACTTGGATGGGCTCTGTTCCTTCCAACAGATGACTCCTGGGTTTTTTCACTAACATTTTGTCTAGCTTGCAGTGATACCAGAACTGGGCAGCTAGAATCACAGAGAAATGGTGCTCAATGAGTAACAAAATAGTAAAAACAAGAAGCTGCTCAGGAAAGGAAATGTAATCATACTACATGACTTAGCTATGGAGTAGATAATAGACACATCTGTACTAACATAAACAAATCTGGCCGGGCTCAGTGGCTCAGCCTGTAATCCCACGCCTTTGGGAGGCTGAGGTGAGTGGATTGACCGAGACCGCGGGTTCAAGACCCGCCTGGGCTGCGAGACCTCATCTCTACAATAATATAAAAAAATCAGCCGGGCGTGGTAGCGCGCGCCTGTAGTTCCGGCTACTCGGAAGGCTGAGGCGGAAGGATTGCCGGAGCCCAGCAGGTCAAGGCTGTGGTGGCCGCGAGCAGCCACTGCACTCCAGTCTGGGCGACAGAGTGAGACTCCAACTCAAAAAAACAAAAACAAAAACAAAACACACATAAACAAATCTGATTTCTACTTTTTTTTTTTAAATTGGAATCTCACTCTGTCACTCAGGTTGAAGTGCAGAGGCATGATCATGGTTCACCGTAGCCTTGAACTCTTGGGCTCAGGCGATCTTTCCACCTTAGTCTCCCAAGTAGCTGGGACTACAGGTGCATGCCACCATGTCCTGCTGGTTTTTGTTTATAAAATTTGTTTAAATTTTTTATTTTTTTGTAGAGACAATGTCTCGCTATGTGGCCTAGACATGTCTCAAACTCCTGGTCTCAAGCAATCTTCCCGCCTCAGACTTCCAAAGTGCTGGGATTACAGGCATGAGTCGCCACGCCCAGCCTTGATTTCAACTTTAAAAACAATCCATAGACAAAATAAAGAAGGCTTAATAATCGGTATAGGACAGAATATAATTTTATAAAAGAGAAGACACAGATGATAATAGCTGGAAGAGTTAAAGGAAAGGGTGAGGGTGCTAAGACATGCCTCTCACAAAGTGGAAGATCAAGAGATACCACCAGAAATGAAAGTAAAAAATATCACATAAAGTTACAAAGGTAGCCAGACACGGTGGCTCACACCTGTAATCCCAGCACTTTGGGAGGCCGTGGCAGGAGGATCACATGAGCCCAGGAGTTTGAGACCAGCCTGGGCAACAGTGCGACCTCGTCTCTACAAAAAAGTCAAATTAACCAGGTGTGGTGGCACTTGCCTGTAGTCCCAGCTACTTGGGAAGCTAAGGCAGAAGGATCAGCTGAGGCCAGGAGGTAGAGACTGCAGTGAACTGTGACCGGGCACTGCACTCCAGCCTGGGCAAGAGTGAGATCCCTGCCTCAAAAAAAAAGGTATGTTTCAAAAGTGTGAATCCATGAAATACTTGTGTTAATAAATTGTTACTGACGTCATTCTACGAGAGACAGTTCTACAGCAGCCGATCAGACTGCTGAACTCTGGCCTCTGACCCAAAAACAGACCACTCTAGACACTACAAGCCATGCCCCTCACAGTGGGCCACGTTACCACCCTGAGAGTGATGGAGAACTGCTGAATAGCTGAAGAGGCACAGAGGACCTGTGCATGGCATGGGCACAGAGTGTCTATGTGTGGGCTGGGGAAATCTTGCTTCTTATTTATAGGGGGGCACCATACATGCTTAAACTCAAGGCAGATTTTCACAAGAAAAGCTGTCCCTTTCACTGCACCATCTCTGGTGGACTCTGGCATGCACTCTGTATCATCTACAAGTGGATGGTAACAACTACTCCCTCAGCTCACTTTGGCCCTGAAAGGAAGACAACAGAAAACAAGGGACTTATATGCACAGGTGCTTTTCTATTTCTGGCAGGTTTCCACAGTCAAAGTATTTCTGATGAATCTCAATTTGGTATGATTTGCAAGTTTTTCTTCCATAATTGAGATGAGTTACAGTGAACTGTATAGAAGAGGCAGGTTCAAGTAACAGGAAGAAAATAAAGATAGTAAGACAGAACAAGGCAGGAAAAGCCTCCTACACATCCAAGGATATTCCAGTTGGAGACTGATTAACAGTAGCTTTCCAAAGACCATGGATGAATCCTAAAAGAACAGAAGGGTTTTTTATGACACTAGAGGAACTGCGTAAATCTGATACCCATTTCTCCAATGCAATAGCCAAGCCATTTGGTCCAAGGTACTTTTTCATTTAAGCTTTGCTGTCATCCAGAAACTCATTAAAAGGATGTGAGCTCATCTAAACCTTAACCACGTACTTAATTCCCTCCAAAAATCTTTCTCAGAAAAGTATCACATAAAAGTGACAAAAAAGAGAGGTTTACCTGATCACTTTGTCGAGCAAGGATACTAACTTCTGTTGAAGCTGCAGAGGCCGCCAGCACTAAATCCCTTAAAGAATAAAACCAGAGACCATCAAATTCAAACACAGCAACAGTTCTGCCCTAACTTGGGCCTGTGGTAACATCTGTAAGGATTTCCGCTATATGCCAAGGAGAGGGCAAGGTCTCCTATCTGGCTGAAGAAAGGTGGGAAGAGTCTAGATGTAAAGCCCTGCAGAATCGCCCCATTGCCCACCAATGTGAAGACAAAGGAAAACACAACAGAGTCAAATCAGAGTCACACGAATACACCATCCAAAGCAGAGTAATCCAGCGAGAGGCGTGGAAGCATTGCTTCAAGTAGCTTCAAAGGGAAACTCTGCTCTCAGAAGGACACTTTCATATATTCCTTAAATATCAGTATCTTTATTAAGTCCTCACTAGGGCGTTATTGAGAAAACTGGATGTTTAAGACCAGTATGTATTCAATCTAAATAATGCAAGATTGAGAAGTAGAAGTAGCAGTCAGGAAGACAATCAAGCATCAGCTGAAAATACATCCAGGGCATCTCAGCCTCTACTTTCCTCTCTTACAGAGAAGACTTCCCAGCAGAACAAGTAGCCTCAGGTGTGACCTGCCAGTGACAGCGGGATGCCCTGCCCAGGGATCTGCTCACCACTCCTCAACGTAGCTGAGATAGTAATGGTGCTGCCTCTCCGTGCAGCTGCCATAGCAGGGCTCCATAAAGTTCACGAATATCTCTGGGTGTTTTTCTTCTTTTTTCTACAATGAACAGAGTAAGAAATACAACTTGTGCAAATTTTCTTTAATCCTACAGAGTTAAAAGACTCAAAAGATAAATCACTTAAGTTTTATGAGAAAATTGACTCAAAATTCAAGTCCAAATATACAGACATGACATAAAGGCAGCATTGAGTAGTGCAAAGAACAAATGTGGGCCAGTGACCTAGCTGCACTTAAACTCTGTTCTGACACTCTCTGCTTATGTGACAAGCACAGATTTCTCAAACTCTGATATTGTTTTCTCATGTGTATACTAGATCTACTAAGCCTACTTCAGAGCTCTTGTAAGTGTAAAATGAAATGTACACATAGAGCAGCCTGCCCAGTACAGACAATACAGCAACAGCCAATAAATGCCAGGATTGGCTGGGTGCAGTGGCTCACTCCTATAATCTCAGCACTCTGGGAACGCGAGATGGAAGGATTGTTTGAGCCTAGGCAACACAGTGAGACCTCATCTCTAGCAAAAAAAAAAAAAATTAGCCAGGCATGGTAGCGCACGCCTGTAGTCCCAACTAGACAGGCGGCTGAGGAAAGAGGATCATCTGAGCCCGGCTGAGGAAAGAGGATCATCTGAGCTAAGCCAAGAACATGCTACTGTGTTCCAGCCTAGGTGACAGAGTGAGACTCCAGCTCAGAAATAAACAAAAAAACAAACAAACAAATAAATAAATGCCAGTGTTAATTTTACCTCTGAGAATAATAAAATTCTAATGCTATCTTGAATTAAGACAGCTCTGTCAGCATATTTTTAAAATTCAACCTCATAGGCCAGGTGCAGTGGCTCACATCTGTAATCCCAGCACTTTAGGAGGCTGAGGCGAGAGGACTGACTGAGTTCAGGGGTTCGAGATCAGTCTGAGCAACAAAGAGACCTCGTCTCTACAATAAAATAAAAAAATCAGCCAGGCATGGTACCACATGTCTGTGGCTTCAGCTGCTTGGAAGGCTGAGGCAGAAAAATCACCTGAGTCCAGCAGGTCGAGGCTACGATGGCCATGAGTGTGCTACTGCACTGTAGCCTGGGCAACAGCGTGAGACTCTGACTTAAAAAAACAAACAAAAAAATACAGGTGCAGTGGCTCACGCCTATAATTCCAGTATTTTGGGAAGCTGAGGTGAGAGGATTGCCTGTTCCCATGGGTTCAAGACCAGCCTGGGCAACATGGTGAGACCTCATCTCTACAAGAAATCAAAACTTAGCTGGATGTGGTAGCACACATCTGTAGTTAATTCCAGCTACTTGGAAGGCTGAGGTGGAAAGATCACCTGAGTCCAGCAGGTTGAAGCTGTGGTGGCCGTGAGCAGTATGCCACTGCACTCCAGCCTGGGCAACAGAGTGAGACTCCGACTTGGAAAAAAAAAAAATCAACCTTATCAGAAACCCAAAGAGTTAAAAACAAGACATCACTGGCCGGGTGACGTGGCTCAGTCTATAATCCCAGCACTTTGGGAGGCGGAGGTGAGTATTGCCTGAGCCAGGGAGTTTAAGACCAGCCTGGGCAACTTTGTGAGACCTTATCTCTACAATAAATCACAAAAATTAGCTGGGTGTGGTGGAGTGTCTGTAGTTCTAGCTACTTGGGAGGCTGAGACGGAAGGATCACCCGAGCCCAGCAGGTCGAGGCTGCGGTGGTCGTGAGCGTGCCAATGCGCTCTAGCCTGGGCCCCAGAGTGAGACTCCAACACCAAAAAACAAAACAAAACAAACAAACAAACAAAAAAAACAAGACATCAGATTGACAAGGACTAAAAATTGCCACTACTGCATAGTGCCACACATGTTGGATAGTCCCACTGGAGGTAAAAGGACAAATAGGTATAACCTTCCTAAAAGGAACTTTGGCAATATTTTCAAAAGCCTATAAAAAACAATACATCCCTTGACCTAGTAATTTCAGTTCTGGGTATATACTGAATAAACATAATCACATAAACCGTACATAAAAGAAAGTGTCACAGTATTCTTTCAAACAGGGAAGGTGGGGCACAGTGGCTCAAGCCTGAAATCCCAGCACTTTGGGAGGCAGTGAGAGGACTGCCTTAGCCCAGGAGTTCAAGACCAGCCTGGGCAACATAGTAAGACCTTGCCTCTACAAAAAGTAAAATTAGCTGGATGTGGTGGTGCATGCCTGTAGTCCCAGCTACTTGGAAGTGTGAAGCAGAAGAATAGATAGCCTGAGCCCAGTAGGGCAACACTGCAGTGGCTGTAACCACGCCACTGCACTCCAGCCTGGGTAACAGAATGGGACTTTAACTCAAAAAAAAGAGAGAGAGATGGAGGGCGGGGACCAAAACCAACCTGAACACACAACAGTAGTAGAAGAGCAAAACAAATTGATTCTCTAACCAGCTAAATACAAATTTTATTTATTGACACAGAAAGATGTTTGCAATTTACTCCTAAGCAAAACAAGGTTGCAAAACAGAGTAAGTACAACTCCTATTTTTGTTTCACTTAGACATTCGTTTCTATATTTTAAAAATCTGAAAATTTGTATACTAAAATATCAATAGTAGTTGCTGAGAGCTAGGATTAAAAGTGTTTTATTTTGTTTTTTTGAGTTGGAGTCTCACTCTGTTGCCCAGACTAGAGTGCAGTGGCCGCTCCTGGCCACTGCAGCCTTGACCTGCTGGCCTCCGGCGATCCTTCCGCCTCAGCCTTCCGAGTAGCTGGAACTACAGGCACGCGCCTCCATGCCCGGCTGATTTTTTGATTTATAATAGAGATGAGGTCTTACTAAGTTGCCCAGGCGGATCTCGAACCCGCGGACTCAGGCAATCCACTCACCTTAGTCTCCCAAAGCACAGGATTACAGGCTGAGCCACCGAGTCTGGCTCAAAAGTGTTGTTTTTTTTTTTTAAAGGTTTTTTTTGGGGGGGGGGGGGTCTTTTTACTAAGTATTTAAAAAAATATTTTTCTGGACTTTGAAAGCTGATTCTGATTTGCAAACATAAGCTCTGCTTCATTTGCTTTTTCAAATGCCATTGCAATTTAGTCCGCTTTGTTGATTTTTTTACTTTTTTTGAGTAGGGGGTCTTACTCTGTCACCCAGGTTTGGGTGCAGTAGCACGATCATGGCTATCGCAGCTTTGATCTGCTGGGCTCAGGCGATCCTTCCACCTCAGGTCTCCAAGTAGATGGAACTACAGACTCATGCCACCACACTCAGCTGATTTTTAAATTTACTGTAGAAAGAGGTCTTGCCAAGTTGTCCAGGCTGGTCTCAAACCCCTAGTCTCAGGCAATCCTCTCACCTCGGCCTCCCAAAGTGCTGGGATTACAGGCGTGAGCCACTCACCTAGCCTTGTTGATCTTATTATGAATGTTGTTCCCCATCTTACAATTACTCCCTCCCTCAATCCATTTGGTTCTCTTCTCACATGGCTCCTCCTCAGAGGCCTTCCTTGATCACCTGATCTAATTGGCTCCCCAGTCATCATCTTCCCTCAATGCTGCTTTATTTGCTCCATCACCCTAATCAGTCATTCTCCCATCCTTAGTAATGACTACCACATTCATTAGAATGGAAGACCGTAAAACAAAGACGTTGCCTCAGTCACTGGGGTATTCTTACCAGCTTTTTTAAAGCAGTGTCTAGGAGTTGGCATTTGATAAACATGTGGTGAATAAATAAATGAAAGAATTTTAAAAATCAAACTATTTTCTTGCTTTTCTAAAATTTATCAGGTTAATCAAAACTCAGTTTACAGATAAAGCAAAATTAAATTTTACCATTATTTTTAACCTCACAACAAAACAAGAGAAAACACTATAAGTGAACACAATTTTGGTCCCCAGGCCTGTGGTACAGCATTGAAACTTACACTTTGGTCCCTAGGCCTGTGGTGCAACATTGAAACTTAGACCTGAAGTTGCACAACTGTCGCTAGTAAGGAAAGTGAAACCGAAGCCTCCAGTTTCATGAGAAGCATGAGAAGACTTCTCTAATTCTCAAAGAGCAAAAATGTTCCTTCCACACACGTACCGGTAGTAGAGCCATCACCACATCTGGAGATGTTTCCAGGGTCCCATCTGCTGCCGCATATACTATGGTGAAGACATACGTACCAATCCATAGCACATCCAGAACTGAAAGACACACACACCCTAGTCAGTAGGTAATAAAGATCACAGCAACCAGGCACAGCAAGAAGCATATTATGTTTGGAATAGCCATTGTATGCTCTCACGTATAACATATCATTGATAAAAAAATCAAAGTACTATAGCTATAATAAAGGTCCAGATTTCACTGACTGAATATTCACAAGGGTCAAGAAGCCCAAATTCATCTCAAAGTGGTAGTTTTTCTACTGGATTATAATCAGAGCAAATTATAAGGAACTGTAATAAAAGTTGGGATTCATTCATTTACTATGAAACACAGGTGTCACCCAGAGGGTTATCATTTTACACTGATTTAATCAGCTGACAGAAATAGTAGCATTATTCTTGAAGCAGGCCCAACACCTCCTTGAGCCAGTTTGCAGGGACATAACATGATTTAGAATTTCTGTGATACAGACGGTACTTCATTAAGGTTACCCAGATAAGAAACACAATGTTACCTCTGACTGGATGATCTGACTCATAAAATGGAGGACAAGGAATGACTTTTTTTTCCTGCAAAGTCTGAAAAAGATTTTAAAAAGTGTCAAATGAAACAATCCCTAAATCATCGAAACTGCCAAATCCAGTCTATTCCTTAAGATGCCACCTATTCTATCTCCTTGGCCAGGAGAGACTTAATAAGGAGAACAATGCTGTCTACTTCTAGGTCTCGATCCTGCAGAAATGCAGGAACATGTTCAGATAGAGGCAAAAAGAATGGGCAAAGCAATACCATTCATAAGTAGCAAAAGCACTAGCATCTATGCAGATGACCATCAGTAACAGAATAGATAAATTGTGGCACATCTACACCTTGGACTACTATGCAGCCATTAAAGAGAAAGAAGTGGCTTTATATGTAACGAGTTGGAAAAAAGAGCCCCTAAACCACAGAAGCATCCATTTTCTTTGATCCCCACAGTTAGAGAAACTGCATTATAACAGCTTTCTCACTAACTCCTTTTCCCCTTAAGTTCTATTTTTATAGAAAGAATTGAAAACATGAAGTTGGGGAGTAGTGTATGGAATATGATCACATTTTACTTCAAAATAATAATAATAATGCAGTTACTTATAGACTATTTGCATAAGTATCCAGAAAAGTCTGGAAGGCCACTCACTCAACAGTGGGCACTTCTGGAAGGAGGGCTGGGGGCAGAAGGGAAGGGTTCCACTCTTTTCTTCATCCACTGATGGATGTGTTACAATGAGCATAAATTACTTTTTAATAGAAAAAAACAGCCGGGCTCAGTGGCTCAGCCTGTAATCCCGCGCATTTGGGAGGCTGAGGTGAGTGGATTGCCTGAGCCCGCGGGTTCGAGACCTGCCTGGGCAGCGAGACCTCATCTCTACAATCAATCAAAAAATCAGCCGGGTGTGGTAGCGCATGCCTGTAATTCTGGCTACTCGGAAGGCTGAGGCGGAAAGATCGCCGGAGCCCAGCAGGTCCAGGCTGCGATGGCCGGGAGCAGCCACTGCACTCCAGTCTGGGCAACAGAGTGAGACTCCAACTCAAAAAAAAAAAAGAAAAAAGAAAAAAACAAGAAAAACACTCCTAAATCACCCCCCAAAAAGTGGGTAATTTAAGAAAAGTTCTCAAGTTCAAGGGAAGAACTTACAGGAAGATACTGGACTACAGTTCCATTCTGTTTTCCGACCGCCAGCTGCTTTCCTTTGGGGCTCCAGCACACTGAGCAAAGAGAACGAGACCAATAAAAACTGAAGAAAATGGAGCAAAACATCAGATCTATCACACATGGCTAATTACCACTTCTTACTCCTCTGTCAGTCTCTGGAGGACTGCAGGAGCCTCCCTATTTGGCCAAATAAAAAAAAGGAAAATCATTTTAATATAAATCAATTATGATTTATTACTGGGCCACAGAACTGAAGGCTAAAAATGCTTCTTCAACAGATTATTGTCTAGAAAGCTGCAAAGTACAGAAACCTCTGTAGTTTTTAGATAAGAAAGGGAGAATAGAGGTTTTCAAATATCAATAAATCATCTTCCTGCTCCTATTTGATATGTCTAATGCTTTTCCTCCCAAAGGTATACATGACTTTTAGAGTAAGACCCTTTTAGACCCAGAAAACAATTATTCTCAAAAACACAGCTCTGAACCAGCTGTATTAAAATATTTCTCCAAAAAACCTGAAAACTCTCAGGTTAAATTGTGTACGCTGCTTGGCTTCAAGGACATTATCTATGGCAATAAAGAATATTCTCCATTTCTACCAAGAAATCCGCGAAAACCAGAAAACTATCCATCTTTACTTCAATACATTAATTTTTAAATAGGTTGCCACTACTATATTTTATAGTGTAAAAGTCTTCATTACCCACCAGACGTTACTGCTACCGTGGAAGGAAGAGTTGCACACACTTTCACTGTTTCTGTGACTTGTAGTACACTGATAATGCCATTAGCCAGACAAACTGCCACCATGGAGGGGACAGTGGGGTTCCACTTCATATCGATCACCATGCCTCCCGCATCTTTCCATAGCTTATGATAGGCAAATGGTCGCTTCTGCTGTCTGGTCTTTTAAAATGTGCAAAAGTAAATTCATAACTCATAAATGCAGAGGCATTTAATATTTAAAGAAAATTACTGAACATGTAAGTTTGTACACAAGAATATACAACTAAAATCACAGTTCATTTTTCTCCATAACTATAAAAAAAGATTTAGCTCTACACAACAACCTATCTGTGACAGATAATATAAACACAATTTTGAAAGTGGCAATCAATTATTCTAACACACTCAGAGGGATTCCCCATAGAGGAATACCAAATGCAAAATAACCAATAAACAGCAGACACTAGATTAAAATCTTGGCTCTGCTTCTTCATAGTACTGGGACCTTGGAAGACCTGGACAGTTACTTAAACTCTTTGAGCCCGCTTCTCTGTCTATAAGACAAAGATAATATACCTACTACATATAAGGCCATGATAGGTATGAATAAGGGACAAGGGACATAAAGCACTTAGTTAGCCTGGCACACAGTCAGCATTAGCACTCAATATTAGTGAGTATTACCATTCTTAAACCGCTTGAAATGAAAAAATAGCTGGGCTCGGTGGCTCAGCCTGCAATCCCGCGCTTTGGGAGGCTGAGGTGAGTGGACTGCCTGAGCCCACAGGTTCAAGACCCGCCTAGGCAACTTGGCGAGACCTCATCTCTACAATAAATCAAAAACTAGCCAGGTGTAGCGCGCACCGGGTGTAGTGTTCTGTAGTTCCAGCTACTTGGAAGACTGAGGTGGAAGGATCGCCAGAGCCCAGCAGGTCGAGGCTGCAGTGGCTGGGAGTGGCCACTGCACAGAGTGAGACTCCAACTCAAAAAAAAAGAAATGAAAAAATACTGCATTAGGAGGTCAGAGAACTCAAACATAGGAACTTCTGACATTACCTATTAACTCTGTGGCCTTGGGCAAGTCACCTAAGCCTCCCAGCTTGGTTGTTTCACGTTAAATAAAAAATGATAATACTCTGAGACAGCCAGAGTTATGAAATAATTTCTGGAATTCCCTTCAATCTCAAAGACATATGATTCTATGGCTGGGTGCAGTGGTTCATGCCTGTAATGCCACCACTTTAGGAGGCCAAGGTGGGAGGATCACTTGAGCCCAGGAGTTTAGTAGTAGCCTGGGCAACACTGTGAGACTTCATCTCTACAAAAATTAGCCAAGGCGAAGGCAGGATGATTGGTTGAGCCTAGGATTTCGAGACTACAGTGAGTTATGATTCTACTACTGCACTACAGCCTGGGTGACAGAGCAAGACTCTCTTATAAAAAAAAAAGAAAAAAAAAGAAAATCTATAATTCTATAATCAAAGACTTTTTCTAAACCCATACTATAGTCTAGAAAAAGATGTCAAGGGTTAACCTAAGAAGTTTCCAAGTTATAATTCAACACCAGGAAATTTCCTTAGGTCCCCGTGTTGATATGACAATGTGACAGTAGCTTACCTCATTTGAGAATGTGCGGACATCAAAAAAAGCGCCAATGGAACCATAGTCACTGGACACCGTGCACACAGACAGTGTGAGGTTATCACAGCTCAGGGCTAGGTGATGGATCGGGAATTTCATAGGAACTAGCAAACTTTGTACTTTTTCAACTATGAAAACATAAAAAAGACAAAGCAGAAAACAGCATGTTTTCAGCATAAAATCACAACATCTTTATTCAGGCCAATGTGAAATACATCCACATAAGCACACATACACCCCTTCACACCTAACTATGCAGACATATCTTAACTTTCTTATACATATATAACGGTGCATTAGGTATATCCCAAGGACGACTCCTCAAACAATCTAGGGAAACTAACTACAGCTATTGCCCTTGTTGAAAATATTTTTGTTGCCGGGCTTGGTGGCTCAGCCTGTAATCCCGCGCCTTTGGGAGGCTGAGGTGAGTGGATTGCCTGAGCCCACGGGTTCGAGACCCGCCTGGGCAACTTGGCGAGACCTCATCTCTACAATAAATCAAAAATTAGCCAGGCGTGGTAGTGCGCGCCTGTAGTTCCAACTACTTGGAAGGCTGAGGCGGAAGGATTGCCCGAGCTCAACAGGTCAAGGCTGCGGTGGCTGGGAGCGGCCACTGCACTCCAGTCTGGGCAACAGAGTGAGACTCCAACTCAAAAAAACAACAACAAAAAAAACGAAAATATTTTTGTTGAAAATGTATATACATTCTCATTTGTTTGGATGGTACCAATGCCAGCTAAAAAACCCATGCAACAAAACCCTTCTAGAGAGCCAGAGTCCGAGCTGAATTGGGTAAACATAAAAGTGTGACATAATGATAAATAATTCTTCCCTCTGAGCTCAGAAGAATAATTCCTTGAAAAAGAAATACAGCCCTTTCCCCAGCTGCCGCCAAGGTGCTCAGTCCTTCTGAGGAACTAAGGCCGTGTTGGGGTGAGGCCCTCACTTCATCCGGTGACTAGCACCGTGCCCAGCAGCTCCATCCTGTGCTTGCTGCATCGTGGCCTCTGTGTCTGAGCTCACCTGCATCTACTCAGCCCTCATCCTGCACGATGACGAGGTGACCATCACGGAGGATAAAATCAGTGCTCTCATTATTAAGGCCGCCGGTGTGACTGTGGAGCCTTTCTGGCCTGGCTTGTTTGCAAAGGCCCTGGCCAATGTCAACATCGGGAGCCTCATCTGCTCTGTGGGGGCTGCCCCAGCCAGGGGTCCTGCCCCGTCCACTGCTGCTGCCTCAGCAGAGGAGAAGAAAGTCGAAGCAAAGAAGGAAGAATCTGAGGAGTCTGATGATGACATGGGCTTTGGTCTGTCTGACTAAGCCTTTTATAATGTGTTCAATAAACAGTTGAACTCTGAACAACAAAAAAAAAGACATACAAGCCAGGTGGTGGCTCACACCTGTAATCCCAGCACTTTGGGCAGCGGAGGCAGGAGGACTGCCTGAGCCTGGGAGTTGGAAACCAGCCTAGGCAACATAACAAGACCCTGTCTCTATTTTAAAAAATCAAAAAATCAGCCGGGCATGGTAGCACCTGTAGTCCCATCTGCTCAGGAGGCTGAGGTGGAGGGACCACCTGAGGCCAGGACATTGAGACTGCAGTGAACCATGATCATGCCATTGCATACTCCGGCCGGTACAACTGAGTGAGACTGACAAAAAAAAAAAGAGACAAATACAAAGGACCAAAGAGAAAACCTAGAAAGTCTTCTAGCATCTCACCTTTAGCTTATTTCTCTTGGAGGTTAAGCTTAAAACCAACAGCAGGCTTCATTTTAATATTAGAATGATTTATTGGGAAGGAAGCATTTAGCACACCACCATACCCCCCTCTCTACTATGTATCACAAATCAAGGAGCTTACCTATTTTATTGGGATCATCTCCAGGTTTATTTTGAATAAGAAGATTTTTGGTAGAAAATACTTGCAACCCACTAGCTCCACCAGCAAAGACCAGACCATATTTGTTGGACACGGCAAGCAGATTTGTGCGTTCCTTGGGTAACTCCTCAGGGGAGTCAAAGATTCTCACCTTCTTTAGTGCTCTAAACTGAAAATCCTGTTATGAAGAATCAAAACAATATCAATTTGGGAAGACATGTCTGTTGTTATAATCCTGATTTCAGTGAGCGAAAATATGTTACCCCGAGGCCAAGAACTATCTCAGTTGTCTAGGCATAGTGTTCATTAGTATTTGCTGAATGAAATAAATGGGGGAAAAAAATCTTCCAGGAAGCCTTGCTTGACTAATCCAGCTCACACTGATCTTTCTTTTTCTGAATCCCTAGTGTGCTTATTGTCTGTGTCAAAGCACAAGCTACACTTAATAATCTTGTCCTATTTCATGGTATTTATTGTCTCATAACCCAGCACAGTGCTTAAGTTTCAAAAGTGTAAAAGCTAACAACCGCTTTTCTTGGCATTGAATTTTGTACACTAGATTCTTAGGGTGTATTTCATACAGAATCCCTAACATATCCCAAATTACTGTTAATACTGGAAGTAACACCCAACAACACTAACTTAGGCACTTAAGTTCTGCCAGGCACCAAACCTGTCTTCCATAAAACTGGCCCCTGACGTCAAAAATGTTCTTCAATTCTACACCTTTCTTCAGGTCAGCATTTTAATGGAGACAACAAGAATCCACTTTCTGTTTTTCTTTTTTTTCAGTTGGAGTCTCACTCCATCGCCCAGACTGGAGTGCAGTGGCTGCTCCCGGCCACCGCAGCCTTGACCTGCCGGGCTCCGGCGATCCTTCCGCCTCAGTCTTCCAAGTAGGTGGAACTACAGGCGCGCGCTACCACGCCCAGCTAATTTTTTTTTATTTATTGTAGAGATGAGGTCTCGCCAAGTTGGCCAGGTGGGTCTCGAACCCACAGGCTCAGGCAATCCACTCACCTCAGCCTCCCAAAGCGCTGGGATTACAGGCTGAGCCACTGAGTCCAGCTTCTGTTTTTTTTCCCCCCTCTCTTTTTGTGACAGGGTCATGCCTGTAATCTCAGTACTTTGGGAGACTGAGGCAGCAGAAGGATCGCTTGAGCCCAGGAGTTTGAGACCTGCCTGGGCAACACAGCAAGACCTGGTCTCTAAAAAAATAGATAAATGAATAAAAATAAAAAATAGCCAGGCTCAGTGGCTCAGCCTGCAATCCCGCACTTTGGGAGGTTGAGGTGAATGGATTGCCTGAGCCCACGGGTTCGAGACCCTCCTGGGCAACTTGGTGAGACCTCAACTCTACAATAAATCAAAAAACTAGCCGGGTGTGGTAGCACGTGCCTGTAGTTCCAGCTACTTGGAAGGCTGAGGCGGAAGGATCGCCGGAGCCCAGCAGGTCGAGGCTGCAGTGGCCAGGAGCAGCCACTGCACTCCAGTCTGGGCAACAGAGTGAGACTCCAACTCAAAAATAAATAAATAAATAAATAAAATATGAAGAGCTGGGTGTGGTGACTACAGCCTGTAATTCCAGCACTTTGGAGGTCAAGGAGAGAGGATTGTCTGAGCTCAGGGGTTCAAGACAAGCCTGGGCAATTTGATGAGACCTTGTCTCTACAATTAAAAAAAAATAGTAAAATAAAATAAAAAGAACTTAAGTTCTAATTTCCAATGTAGTATTCCACAAATACACACTAAAATAACTACCACAGAAAGATGACCAAATTCCAAGAAACGAATGACCTGTATCAAATACCAAACAGAATTCCATCACAGAAAGATTAGGGCCCATCTCTTACCATCCAAGACCTTTAACCAAAACCTAGATGCTATGAGGACATCTAAAGCATGAGTCTGAAATCCTTAAACCAGGCCACACTGCCAGGGATGGCTCGAACCATCCACCTCTGCTTCCCTTGCACAAGTGCGCCACTATCTCCTCAACAGCCACCACCAACCCTACTCTCACCTACTTCCACTTCTAATTTCCTTCAAGTTTCATGCTCCTTAGTATCTTGGAGCTTTTTAGACATGATTGGCCTGGGAGCCTTCCCTAACTTCTGTCAATTCCTGACACCTCTAGTCTTCCATGAATTTATCTACATGTTTTCAGACAATTTTCAGTGTGTATCATCTCTTGGTAAAAAGAGATCCATAAGTTTACCCGTCGTGATGTTAAGTTATGCTATATAGCAGGGGTCCCCAACCCCAGGGGCTACTACCGCTAACAGTCCTGCCTTGTTAGGAACCGGGCCACACAGCAGGAGGTGAGCAGTGGGCGAGTGAAGCTTCATTTGTATTTACAGCTGTTCCCCATTGCTCGCATTACTGCCTGAGTTCCACCTCCTTCAGATCAGCCCCAGATCAGACTCTCATAGGAGCACAAACCCTATTGCGAACTGCACATACAAGGAATCTCGGTGGCGTGCTCCTTATGAGACCTAATGCCTGGTGATCTGAGGTGGAGCTGAGGCAGTGATGCTAGTGTTGGGGAGAGGCTGCAAATACATATTAACATGAGCAGTGAGGTTTGACTGCACAACCCCCACCCCAAGTCTGTGGAAAAACTGTCTTCCATGAAACTGGTCCCTGATGCCAAAAAGGTTGGGGACTGCAGCATATAACACTAATTTTTTTCTTCAATTCTACACCTATCTTTAGGTCAACATTTTAGTGGAGAGAATATGAAAACACTTTGTGCTTTCTATTTCTTTTTTTCTTTTTTTTTTTAGATGGTGTCTTGCTCTGTCACCCAGGCTACAGTGTAGTGGCATGATCATAGCTCACTACACCCTGAACTCCTGGAAGCACGTGATCCTCCAATCCGACCTCAACCTCCTGAGTAGCTGGGACCTCCATGCCTGGCTACTTTTTGTTTTTGTAGAGATGGGGTCTTGCTATGCTGCCCAGGCTTGTTTCAAATTCCTGGTGTCAAGTGATCCTCTGGCTCAGCCTCCCAAATTGCTGGGATTGTAGGCAGGCCACTTTGTACTTAAATTGCAAAAGTGCAGAAGTCAACAATAGCCTTTCTTGACCTTCATTTTTATATACTATATTCTTATGGTATGTTTCACAAAGAATCCCTAACATACCCACATACTAATTTCCCTGTAGTTGATGTTTAATACATATTTTTTAAAAAGATCTACTGAAACACTCAACTCCAACTAATTCCAGGGAGCAGAACGTCAAACAGCTTTCCAGATGAAACTATAGTATGGTTCCATATTGGAATAGGATAAAATGTGCTCTTTTTTGTACTTCTCATGCTGATAATCCCAAATATCCTATGTGGGTCTTGGTGATGGAGTGGAGAAAGCCAGGCCAGTGAGGTGAATAGGCAGAAGAGGGCTCTCCTTTCCGTTATAGTCAGTTATGTGAAGGGAAGCTGCCATCTTATAAGTCTGTGGCTCCAAACCATTTCTCCTCTACCTCAGTATATCTGAGGAATATGACACACTCCCACTCGGTAGCTTGCCATAGGCAGTGATTCTCAAAATAGAAAAGGGAACCACTATGCAAAATCTGGTATGGATTACTAGCCCCTGAATGCATTTCAGCAATCTGCTGTACACACAAATGCCCCAAATCAACGACCTTTCTTTTGGCTATTTAAAAATCAATGTAGCTCATTCTCTGTACTCTCATTCTGTCAGAACACATATAAGAACTATTAAACACACCACCCTGGGGGCTACTCCTGGGGGGCTCCCATGTTACCATCGCTGGGACCACTTGGCCCTCCCTTTAGTTTCCTGACTTTAGGCTGATACCTGGTGTCAAAATAGTCTTCCTAGTCCGACTAACTAAAGGTTCAATAGGACAGGTGATCTGCCCTGGCTCTATCATAGGCAAGCCTGGACCACCTTCCAGAAGTGGCATACAAGGAGAGCAAAGAGGAGTCCCTTGCCAAATGTGACTTTGAGTAAATTCCTTTCAGAGTCTCGATCTGGTTTTTGTTTTGTTTTTTTAAGAGACGAGGTCTCGCTGTGTTGCCCAGGCTGGTCTCGAACTCCTGGGCTCAAGCGATCCCCTGGCCTCGGCCTGCTGGGATCGCAGGCGGGAGCCACCGCGCTCCTCTCTATTAACGACTACTTCATAGGGTGGCTGTGATGGGCGCCCCAGTCCCTGCCACTGCCGCGACCACCCCACGAAAGTAGCTAGGACAACTCCAGAGGCGCGCACAAGGCCACGAGGGGACGGGGACACTGCCTCGGCGGGGCCATCCCGCCGGCGACAAGCCGGGCCGTGAGGGTGCGAACTCGGAACGCGGTCCACTGTTCCAGCCGGAGGCGGGGCAGCCGGCGCCGCGCTTCGCCGTTCGGGGGGCTCCACGGCACGCCGGACTAAGGGAGGGCGGGAGTCCCGGCCAGTCTCTGACCTTCATCTCCCGCTCGGGGATCATGGCATCCATCTCGTCTCCCATCGCGCTGCCCTCTGTTTGTCGAAGCAGCCCTGCCGCCGCCGCCGCCGCCGCTCGCAGCCTAGCCCGCCGAACCCAGGCCGCCCAGAAGCCAACTTCCCCGCCTCAGCGCCGGCGGCGTTCAGATGATCGCGCATTTCCGGCGCGCTTCGGTGACGTCATCGTCCCCGTCCGCGGCATGGCCCGGGGTGCCGGCGGAACCGTCCGAAGTCGCGCGCTCGCCGGGACGCCGCCTCCCATTGGCCGCCTCGCTGAGCAGGGGGCGTGGCCGCGGGGCCTGCGCGCTTGCGCTCTGGGGGTGTCTTCTTATTCCGCCCCGCGTGGGCGGCTAGCGCGGTTCGCGCTTGATCGCTACGCCCGACCCTAACAGTACCCTGAGCTGCAGGAGGCTTAGTAACTTCTGGATCAGAAAAGTCGGTTGGGAACTTGACAGATGTTTCCAGGGGGCAGCTTTTGAGAGCGGCTTTGGGCTTTGCAGGGGGAGAAAAAGAGACCCAGAAAGTGGGTTCGGGGGGCTCGCCACGGGGAGATCCTTAAGTGTGGAAGGAGGAGGGCTGGGGGGGAGATGAAGGCACCAAAGACCAGCTTTGTTTACTGCTTTCAAGGTAATCATGCCCAGAGCAAAAGCCATATCCACCTCTGGTCCCTGAAGAATATGTGCCGGGTTCTGGGCAAAACCCATTAGTTGTGGTCGCAATCTTCAAGACATCCTAGTCACCTAGGCGTTATTACTGACATTGAATGGACGGGGTGAGGGCAGCGCAGAGGAGTTGGGAAAATTCTCCAGTAGCCCTCAGCCATAAAGTAGAGGCTGGAGTAGAATCCAGATTGAGTGGAAAATGCCGATTTATGATACACACAGTCCTATGAAGAAGACATTTCTGTGGATTTACATTATAAATACGCTAGGACAGAGGTTTTTAACTTGGAGCCCCTTACTGTTTTGTTTTCAACACATTGCTTGTCTGGTCCAAGCCTCCTCAGTTGTAAAAACAGGGATGACATAATGGACCCTGTAGGGAAGGGAGGAGGGTGTGTGTGTGGGGGTGGGGGGGGGCGGTTCTGGGAAGTGAAATTCATTTGTCTCAGACCCAACACATGGGACATACTTGGTCTGCTAGCTCATCTCAATTGCTGAACCCAGAACCATCCCCAAAACAAAACCACCTACATAAAATTAGTATCAGCCCATGGGGTAAAACATAAAAGCCCTGAAAAGCTGAGGCTATGGTTAAAATTTAACAAATCTGTCGTTTCTAAGTTTTGTTTTTGGCTTTGAGTTGGAGTAACATGAACAAGCCCTGAATAACTGTAGCTACAGTTAAAATTTAACAAATCTGTCGTTCCTAAGTTTTGTTTTTGGTTTTGGGTTGGGGTGAAACATACAAGCCCTGAAAAGCTGCAGCTATGGTTAAAATTTAACAAAGCTGTCGTCTCAGTTTTGTTTTTGGTTTTCAGTCAGAGTCTCACTCTTGTCCAGGCTGGAGTGCAGTGGAACAATCACAGCTCACTGCAGCCACGACCTCCTTGGGTTCATGTGATCCTTTCACCTCAGCCTCCTGAGTAGCTGGTACAGCCACTAAGCCCAGCTGATTTGTGTGTGTATAGACAGGGTCTCTCTGTGTTGCCCAGGTTGGTCTTGAACTCCTGACTTCAAGTGATCCTCATGCCTCAGCCTCCCAAAGTGTTGGGTTTACAGGCGTGTGCCACTGCACCCAGCCTGTTTGCTTTCACTCCAGTAGAGAGCAGTTAATCTGCTTCAAGTCCTGACCCCTGGGAAGGGGTGAAGCCAGCCCGCAAGACTGATATATTCTCCCTTAAGCAATGGGCCTAAGACTGCATAGATCTTTGATGACAAAAGCAGAGGTTAGCCGGGCTCGGTGGCTCAGTTTGGTAATCCTGTGCCTTGGGAGGCTGAGGTGAGTGGATTGCCTGAGCCCGCAGGTTCAAGACCCACCTGGGCAACTTGGTGAGACCTCATCTCTACAATAAATCAAAAAATTAGTCAGGTGTGGTAGCGCGCGCCTGTAGTTCCAGCTACTTGAAAGGCTGAGGCAGAAGGATCTCCGGAGCCCAGCAGGTCGAGGCTGTGGTGGCCGGAAGCAGCTACTGCACTCCAGTCTAGGCTACAGAGTGAGACTCCAAAAAAAAAGCAGAGGTTGAAGAACAAAAGTGGCTTTAATCTCCAGGGACCCCATCTCCCCCATACCTTTCTCCTAAACTACCTCTATGATAACTCACTGCTCAGGCGTAGAACCTAATGATCACTGGACTTGCTTTATACGTAGCATCTATTGAAAAACCTAAGAATGGTATCTGAGATATTTTTCAAATTCTCATTGACCCGAGACCCTACCAAAGCCCTGAACACACACCAGGAAGCTGGCTCCACCAATCCAGTGATACGCCATCCCAGAAATTGGCTCTGTAACAGATAGTCTTGACATCCCTCCAAGAAAGCATCAACTAATCAGCAGTCCTAGTCTCTGTCCTTAAAATTCCCTTTAAAAACCTTAGCCTCAGCCAGGCTTGGTGGCTCAGCCTGTAATCCCGTGCTTTGGGAGGCTGAGGTGAGTGAATTGCCTGAGCCTGCGGGTTCAAGACCCGCCTGGGCAACTTCACGAGCCCTCATCTCTACAATAAATGGAAGGCTGAAGTGGAAGGATCGCTGGAGCCCAGCAGGTCGAGGCTGCAGTGGCTGGGAGCGGCCACTGCACTCCAGTCTGGGTGACAGAGACTCCAACTCAAAAAAAAAAAAACCCCCAAAAAAGCTTAGCTTCTAATTCTCAGGAAGGTGAATTTGAGTAATATCTCTTGCCCTCTTCACTCAGCTGATTTCCAATATTAACATCTTTCTCTAGCTGTAATGGCTGCATGAGTTTTGGGTTTTTCTAGCAGCAAGTGTAAGAACCTGGTCAGGCTGTAACAAAAATACACCAGTCAAGACATTGGTAAGCTTGTCTGGTTTATTTCCAATCTGTAGAGATGATATCCCACCCCATACACACTCACATGCACACACACATGCACACACTCCATCCACCTGAATTTACTCGACAAACTTCTGAGTCAGGGACAAAGCCACACTTGGCAGTCCCCACGTTGCTGGTTACATTAGTTAGATTTGGTCTTTCAGAAAGAGGATAGTTGAAGCCCCAAGAAGCTGAGCCCTTAGCCAGAGAGTTGAAAGTCCCAGCCACAACCTGAAATACATGCAGACCCTCCCCTTTCCAGGGACCATTCTTGAGACCCTCTCCCCCCAGGGGTTGAGATCCAAGAAATGTTGAAGGGACTGATGGGGCTTCCAAGGACATGACACCACCCCATTCATTGAACTCTTTCTTGCCCTTTCTGGACACTGGGGAAACACCTGCATGTCTCTGCCCTTAAGGAGGTTTCACGCCATCTTGTAAACTACGAAACCCACTGGATTTAGCCTGCTTGGTTCTGCCTTCCTCTCTGAGTGAGAGACAGGGACACTGAATATGAAGGACAGTCAAGGAAAGCTTTATCTCCCTTCAAGGTCTCAGCCTGTCCCAGAGACAGTGGGAAGGGGTGAGGACAGGCAGTTGCTCATCTAATGATCTCAGAGGAAAAAAAAGTCGGTGGGGGGAGGGGATGGCGGGAGTAGGATTTTACATTTACAGAATTTAAAGGGAGGAATGTTTTCCTGGGGTTTAAACTTCAACGAGGCCTGTGTGTTTGGAGCAGATCCTTAAGCTGAAGATCAGTCGGTCGTGGCCACATTATCTTGCTCCTGAACTGGTTGAAGCCAGCGGGCTAACCCGACCTGGCCATTTCCTCATCCCTACCTGCTTCCCTCCCTCAGGCTGTTGTAGCGGCAGCACCTGTGGCCCTTGACCACAGCGGCGCACTAAGGAGCCACAGGAAACCCGAACTGGCTCTAACACCAATAGCCCCAGCCCTTTCCACACTTATGGTCTTGAAAGGCTCCAAGACTCCTCCCAGCTAGGCAGGCAGTCCCCCTTAACATCCCCCTTCTGCCGGGCTCAGTGGCTCAGCCTGTAATCCCGCGCCTTTGGGAGGCTGAGG